AGTGCAATATTGGTTTCAGGAGTAGAATTCAGTGATTCATCAATTACATATAACACCCAGTGCTCATCATAACAAGTATCCTCCTTAATACCTATCACCCATTTAGCCCATCCCCCACCTCCCTCCCTCTATCAACCCTCAGTTGGTTGTCTATCTTTTAGAGTCTCTCATGGTTTATTTCCCTCCCCCTTTTTTAGAAAATATATTTTTTATTTTTTAGAGAGAGAGTGCAAGTGGGGGAGGAGGGGAGAGAGAGAGAGAGAGAGAAGAGAGGAGAGAGAGAATCTCAAGCAGGTTCCATGCTCCTTGTGGAGCTCTACATGGGGCTCGAGCCCACACCCTGGGATCATGGCCTGAGATGAAATCAAGAGTCAGATGCTCTGGATAAAGGGCTAGTATAAAAATCTATAAAGAACTCACCAAACTCCACACCCGAAAAACAAATAATCCAGTGAAGAAATGCGCAGAAGACATGAATAGACACTTTTCCAAAGACATTCAGATGGCCAACAGACACATGAAAAGATGCTCAATGTCACTCCTCATCAGGGAAATACAAATCAAAACCCACTGAGATACCACTTCATGCCGGTTAGAGTTGCTAAAATGAACAAATCCGGAGACTATAGATGCTGGCGAGGATGTGGAGAAACGGGAACCCTCTTGCACTGCTGGTGGGAATGAAAACTGGTGCAGCCACTCTGGAAAACAGTGTGGAGGTTCCTCAAAAAATTAAAAATAGATCTACTCTATGACCCAGCAATAGCACTGCTAGGAATTTACCCAAGGGATACAGGAGTGCTGATGCATAGGGGCACTTGGACCCAATGTTTATAGCAGCACTTTCAACAATAGCCAAATTATGGAAAGAGCCTAAATGTCCATCAACTGACGAATGGATAAAGAAGATGTGGTTTATATATACAATGGAGTACTACTTGGCATGAGAAAGAATGAAATCCTTCCATTTGCAGCAACGTGGATGGAACTGGAGGGTATTATGCTAAGTGAAATAAGTCAGGCAGAGAAAGATAGATACCATATGTTTTCACTCATATGTGGATCTTGAGAAACTTAATAGAAGACCATGGGGGAGGGGAAGGGGAAAAAAAGTTACAGAGAGGGAAGGAGGCAAACCATAAGAGACTCTTAAGGACTGAGAACAAACTGAGGTTGATGGGGGTAGGGGAAAGGGGAAAGTGAGTGATGGGCAGGAAGGAGGGCACTTGTTGGGATGAGCACTGGGTATTGTATGGAAACCAATTTGACAACAAATTATATTTAGAAAAAAAAAAAGAAAACAAAAAAATAATAAAATTCTTTACTTGTCAAAAAAAAAAAAAGTCAGATGCTCAACCAACTGACCCACCCAGGCGCCTCTGTTTCCCTCTCTCTTTTAAAACACAACACTCTTATAACATCTCCTGTGTCTCTTTCCATAGGGCCAGGTTTAAATCTCTTAGCCTTGCCCTGATAATACCTTCTGTCTTTTCAGTTACCTGTGTGTCCCCAGCGTGAATCCTCTTTAATATGTTTTGCTCATTGTTTTCTCTGTACCTTTTTTATAGCTTATTACAGCCTATAGGGTCCTCTCTCTACCTCCTTGCTTTTCAAACCTAACCTTCCTCTGGGAACCTCACTTCCTTCATGAAGCTTTATCATCAGTTTACAGTGAACATTTTCCTTCAGAACTGCACAAAAACTTATAGTTGATGTCACGTAGCATCTATTTGTGCTTTATATTTAAATTTTGTTATTAAGATTGTATCTCCCTGATTGTTTCTATAAATCTCCTGATTATCTCTGTAGCACTCTTAAAAACATAGAATATAAAAATAATTTCATAAATTAATGTTTATATGCAGTTATCCAGTAATTTGAAGAAGTAAAGGATGTCTTCTCTTTGAATTCAGTTTTTTGTAGTAAGTCATTAAGACTTCTTTTTCAGATCTGTCATTTGTCACTGGCTTACTCTCCTTTATCTGAGAAGTTCAGTATGACTTATTTTTAAGAGTTAAGCTAATTAAACCATTTATTTAAACTGTTGTAGTAGTACCTGAAATAATTGGTAAAGTTGAGTCTTGGAGTCACTGCCTTGGATGCTAGTGACACAAGGAAAAAAAATATATCCCATTTTACTCTTAAGCCTTTGATGAAAGTTTTTATCTATCTATCTATCTATCTATCTATCTATCCATCTAAATTCTAGTTAGTTAACATACTGTTTAGTATTGGTTTCAGGAGTAGAACCCAGTGATTCATCAGTTACCTAGAACACCCAGTGCTCATCCCAACAAGTGCCCTTCTTAATGCTCTTTATCCATTTAGCCCATCCCCAACCCATGCCCCCTCTAGCAACCCTCCAGTTTGCTTTCTGTATTTAAGAGTCTGTATGGTTTGCCTCTCTCTCTGTTTTTATCTTATTTTTCCTTCCCTTCCCCTATGTTCTTTTGTTTCTTAAATTCTATATATGAGTGAAATCATATGATATTTGTCTTTGTCTGACTTACTTCACTTAGCATAGCACACTCTAGTTCCATCTATGTTGTTGCAAATGGCAAGATTTCAGTCTTTTTGATTGCCGAGTAGTATTCTATTGTACATATATACCACATCTTCTTTATCCATTCATCAGTCGACATTTGGCTTCTTTCCATCATTTGGCTATTGTTGATAGTACTGCTATAAACATTGGGGTGCATGGGCCCCTTTGAATTAGCATTTTCATATCATCTGGATAAATACCTGGTAGTGCAATTGCTGGATCATAGGGTAGCTTTATTTTTAATTTTTTTGTTTGTTTGTTTTGAGAGAGAGTGAGCAAGCGCCTGTGTGTGCACATGCACACTGGAGAGCGGGGGAGGGGCAGAGAGAGAGAGAGAATCAGAGGATCCAAAGTGGACTCAGTGCCAACAGCAGAGAGCCTGATGTGGGGCTTGAGCTCACAAACCATGACATCATGACCTAGCCGATGTCGGGCACTTAACTGACTGAGCCACCCAGGTGTCCCACTATTTTTAATTTTTTGAGGAACCTCTGTACTGTTTTCCAGAGTGGCTACACCAGTTTGCAACCCCACCAATACTGCAAAAGTGTTCCCCTTTCTCCGCTTCCTTGCCAACATCTGTTGTTTCCTGAGTTATTAATTTTTGGAAGTTTTTATTTTAATCAGATGATAAATTTGATCAATGTGGATAGTTCTCTGGCATCATTCCAAGAAGATTCTTTTTATCTGTTGGACTGAAGCACACAAAATACAACAATAAAGCCATAAAACACCATCAAGTAACATATATTCATTGATACTCAATGTACTGAGTCATCTTTGAACACAGTGGTTTGTCACCTATCATACTATATAAAGACATAATACATAATGATAATAGTTTGTATAATATTTTGCTATTTCCAGGTGGTTGAATATGGTCAATAAATCAGAATTATAGATTCTAATCACCTCAGCATATCAGTATATAAAATTTTTATACCAGAAAATATTTCATTATCCCTCACAATTGGCATAGACATTATAAAAATATTACCAAGTTATGCCCCTACTTTGAACAACCTTTCAGTAACTTTTCAGTCGTTTTACTTAAGATCTGGAACATTTAGTATCATTTGAAAAGGCCCTGTCAGAGCTGGCTTCAGCATTACTGGCTTTTTTAAAGTTCTTGTTTATGTGAAATTCTTTCTAATTTTGGTGGCTTCTTGTATACTGTTTCCTCTGCAAGTGACACCATACCTGGTTTTCTCCCTCTCCACACACTTTTCCTGTCATGACCTTTTTGCATCTTTTGGGCCATTCTACTTCTTCAGAGAAGATTTCACTGATCTTTTCTTTTTAAATCATGTCTCCCAGCTAAAATCTCTCATTGTACACTTTAATTTCCTTCTTAGATTCATCACTGTTCATTTATGTATGTTGTGATTGTCTGTTAATTGCCTATCCAGAACAAGAGCTCTCTGAAGATAGGAACCCTGTCCACTTTTTTTCACTGATAAATCCTTGGCAGTTAGCACAGGGAATGGCACCACAGTCGATGCTGCTTGCGAGGTAGGCTGAGGGAAACCCAGTACCTTTCTGACCCTTACCAGGATCAGAATTCCTCTACCAGACCCAGAATTCCTCTACTGACACAGTTTTCTAAGAAAATAGAATACCAGTATAATGAAGGGTTTATAAAATGTTTTAGAAATCAGTGCGTGGGTCCCCTTCCCCTCATTTCCATCAGATCTTTGCATTACTGTTAAGTGTTAAAGGGCACAAATAACTTAAAAAATTAATTTAAGCAAGACTTGGGCAGTATATGGTCTTTCCTTAAAGAAAAAGGCTTAAAAACGGTCTTTAAAAAAATTCTGTTTTAGGGGCTCCTGAGTGGTTCAGTTGGTTAAGTGTCTGACTTCGGCTCAGGTCATGATCTCATGGTTCATGGGTTCCAGCCCTGCTTTGGGCTCTGTGCTGACAGCTCGGAGCCTGGAGTCATCTTTGGATTCTATGTCTACCTCTGTCTCTGCCCCTCCCTCCTCGCCCTATGTCTCTCTGAAAAATAAACTTTAAAAAATTATTTTAAAAATCTTTTATTTTGTATTTATTTTTTTCTTTTTTTGTGTATTTTTATTGAACTTCTAGTTAACATACAGTATAATACTAGCTTCAGGTGTACAGTATAGTGGCTCAACACTTCAGTACACACCCTGTACTCATCACAAGTGCCCTCTTTATTTCTTTTTTCTTAAAAAGTTTGTTTTAAAGGCAGTATTTCTAAAAGTAAAATTGAGGACTTATATAGCAAAACCCAGGTATTTTTACATTAATTCAGTCCATTTACATTGTTGCATCATATTACTTCAAAAGAGTCTTTAATCAGTTGGATGTACCTCTCCTTTATATTTGCATGAATTTAAAATTTGAATTACACACATTAAAAATGTCAATAGATAGCATTCTGGTATTTTATCAAAGATAATGTGGCTGTTTGTTGTGTGTCTGGTTGTAGGCAGTATGAAACTGTGGTCCCACTTGAAGATTCTATTGTGACTGAGGTTACAGCAACTCTACAAGAATGGGCCAGTCTGTGGAAACAACTCTATGTGGTAAGTAGTTGATAACTAGCTTACTAGATCATTAAAATTCCATTATACCAAGTGAAAAAATTTATCTTACCTATGCCAATTACAAATTTTTAGATTTCTGAATATTTGCAACTTTTCAATGTATGTTCCTAATATTAACTGAGACATCTACACTGAATGTTGTTCAATCTGAGGAGAATACATTATTTGTATGCCTGCAGTCCCTCCACCCTATCCCAGTCAATGGAATTTAAGTTCCTTAACACCAGGGATTTTAACTGTCTTACTCACTGCTGTAGCTCCAGAAGCTTTCATAAAATAGGTATTTACTGAATGAATGAACAAACTTAAGAGTTGCATTGTGAGCCTAATGGTGGGTAAAGGCCAAGAAGTTGTATCCACAGTTTCTTATAGCTAGTAAGCTGATAGGATATGTCATATATGACATGCTTTGCTAAGCCCGTAATTAATAGAAAGATTAGTAAAAACCCAGCCCATATCCTCTGGAAACAGGAGAGTGATAGGACACACAAATCAGGGCTAAACATGAGTGACAAGGTTTGGGTTCGAACAAGATGGAATAAACACATTCTGTATATTCTTCTTAGTAATTACAACAAAAATCCTGGACAAAACCCATAAATCACCTGCCAGAAAACTCTGAAAGTAAAGGAAGAGAAGGTGGAGTGATTAGGGACCTTTGGACTCAAGGATTGAGTGAGTTCCCTGATTGTTGTTTTTTCTTGCCTCCCATATACTTTGGCCTGGGCTCTAAAGAAGCCCACAACCTGGATATACTGTTGGGTGCACACAAAAAGCATCAAAGAAAGCCTTTTTTTTTTTAAGCCAAAGGATGGCACAGCAAGACAGAAACCTTTTAATCTATCCTTTCTGTTCTCCAGACAAACATTGCAATAAAAGCTGCACCCTCATACCCACCCAAATAGGCATTGCAATAGTGGAACTACTCCATCTCATACACACACTCTTACTCCCATGTGCAGTAACACATGTCTCTCTCCAGTGGAGCCTTAGGTCAAACACTGACTTCTACCCCTCCCCACTATAGTAATTAGGCAGTGCCTCTCTTCATTGGAGTCTGTGGGAAGATTCTGACTTTCACTTCACCACCACTTGCAAGGTGGCACTTTTCTACAGCAGAGCCTGTGGGTGGGACTCTGGATTTCACAACTACCCAGTGTTAACATAGTGATGCCCTTATTTTGCAGAGTTCTGTGGGCAAAACTATGACTTCCTTCTATGCTCTAAAGTAAGGAAGCAGCCTCCATCCACAGAGGAGCCTATGGTTGGAGCTCTTGATTTCCATTTCTCTTATAAGGATAAGTGGGTCCCTTCCCAGCTGAGCCTATAGGCAAAACTGACTTTAACCTCCCCATTACGAGATAGTGCTCCGCTCTAGTACACCATGTGAACAGTCCTCTATTTTTCATCCTTGTCCTGCTGAAATGAGGCAGTGCTTCTCCCCACCCAAATCCATGCAGAGTGTAAGTGAAGTACAGTTCTGCTATCTAGGTAACACACAAATGGGGAAAACCAGAAGAGCACTGGAAAGACTTCATATACGAAATTGACATATGAATCACAGACCACAAAAGTGAGCCTAGAATTGCATTCTGAATCTAAGCAGATTGACCACCTACTAAAATAGAAGTTTTAATTTTTTTTTTCAACGTTTTTTATTTATTTTTGGGACAGAGAGAGACAGAGCATGAATGGGGGAGGGGCAGAGAGAGAGGGAGACACAGAATCGGAAACAGGCTCCAGGCTCCGAGCCATCAGCCCAGAGCCCGAGGCGGGGCTCGAACTCACGGACCGCGAGATGGTGACCTGGCTGAAGTCGGACTCTTAACCGACTGCGCCACCCAGGCGCCCCCATCAACAGGGGTTTTAAAACTGCTTTTGTAAAATTGCTCCAGCAAGCAATTAGAGACACTCTTGTTTTTTTTTAATTTGCATCTTTATTTACTTACATTATTTTATTTATTATATAATTTATTGTCAATTTAGCTAACATACAGTGTATACAATGTGCTCATGGCTTTGGGAGTAGATTCCCATGATTCACCATTTACATACAACATCCAGTGCTCATCCCAGCAAGTGCCCTCCTCAATGCCCATCACCTGTTTTACCTTCCTCCCCACCCCCTTCCACCCTCAGTTTGTTCTCTGTATTTAAAAGTCTGGGTGGCCCAGTTGGTTAAGCGTCTGACTTCAGCTCAGGTCATGATCTTGTGGTACATGAATTTGAGCCCCATTCGGGCTCTGTGCTGACAGCTCAGAGCCTGGAGCCTGCTTCAGATTCTGTATCTCTCTCTCTCTCTGCCCCTCCCCTGCTCATGCTTTGTTTCTCTCCCTCTCTCATAAATAAAAACATACACAAAATTTTTAAAAAATAAAAATAAAGGTCTCTTATAGTTTGCCTCCCTCTCTGTTTGCAACTTTTTTTTTCTTTCCCTTCCCCCATGGTCTTCTATTAAATTTCTCAAATTCCACATATGAGTGAAAACATGATATCTTTCTCTGACTGACTTATTTCACTTAGCATAATACCCTCCAGTTCTGTCCACGTTGTTGCAAATGGCAAGATTTCATTGTTTTTCATTGCCGAGTAGTATTCCATTGTGTGTGTGTGTGTGTGTGTGTGTATACATACACTGTATACACTATATATATATATATATATATATATATGCACACATATGTATATGCACACACAGTATATATAGACACACTATATATATATACACACACTATATACACACTATACACACACACACACACATCTTTTTTTTTTTTTTTTTTACTCCACTTCTTCTTTATCCATTCATCATTTGATGGGCAGTGGGCATTTGGGCTCTTTCCATAATTTGGCTATTGTTGATAATGCTGCTATTAACATTAGGGTACATGTACCCTATGAATCATCACTCCTGTATCCTTTGGGTAAATTCCTAATAGTGCTATTGCTGGGTCATAGAGTAATTGTATTTTTAATTTTTTGAGGAACCTCCACACTGTTTTCCAGAGTTGCTGCACCAGTTTGCATTCCCACCAGCAGTGCAAAAGGGTTCCCCTTTTTCGACACCCTCACCAACACCTGTTATTTCCTGAGTTGCTAATTTTAGCCACTCTGACTGGTGTGAGGTGGTATCTCAATGTAGTTTTGATTTGTATTTCCCTGATGATGAGCGATGTTGAGCATCTTTTGATGTGTCTGTTAGCCATTGGGATGAAGAGACACTCTTGAAACAAATGAAAACACTCTTGAAACTGCAGCAAGGAAATAGAAAACTTAAAGAATCAAATGAAAATTTTAGAACTGAAAAATAGACTAACAAAAATTTAAAAATTACTAGATAAACTCAATAGCAGAATGGAAAGAACAGAGGAAGGAATTAGTGAGCTTAATGATGGATCAAAAGAAATTATCCAGTCTGAATAATGGAGAGAAACTAAATGGAAAAGTAAACTTAGCTTCAGAGACCTGTGGGACAATAACAAAAGATATAACATTTAAGTCATCAGAGGACTAGACAGAAAGGACAGAATGTGGAGTTAAAAAAAAATTGAAGAAATAATGGCTCAAGTCTTCCCAAATTTGGCAAAAGATGTAAGCCAAGAAGTCGAGTAAACTCTAAACAGGATAAACCTAAAGAAATCCATGCACAATCACATTGTAGTTAAATTTCTGAAAATTAAGGCAAAAGAAGAAAATCTTTGTATATACATATATATTTAAAAAAATTTTTATGTATTTTAAAATTCCAATATAATTACTATACAGTGTTAGATTAGTTTCAGGTGTGCAATTTTGTGATTCAACAATTCTGTACATTATTCAGTACTCATCATGATAAGTGTACTCTTAATCCCTCCCCTTCACCTATTTGACCCATCCCCCCACCCACCAAAGAAAAAGTTTTAAAAGGGAAACAACACATTACCATTAGGGAAATGACAATTTGAATGACAGCAAATTTGTCGTCAGAAACTATGGAAGACACAAGGGAGTGGCCCAACATTTTTCAAGTACTGAAAGAAAAAAACCCTGATGTTACCCCAGATTTGTGTATCCAGGAAAAATATATTTCAGGAATAAAGGAGAAATAAACACATTTTTAGATGAAGGAACCCTAAGAAAATTTGTTGCCGTTGGATTGGTTCTAAAATAGTAGCTATAATGGATGTTTATCAGATACAAAGTAAGAGATAATGTAAGGACACTTGGAATATAGGAATGAAGAAATCAATAGAAGGGGTAAATTCTGTTAGGTGTTTAAAGTAGTCTTTGAGGAGACAAAGCAGAAATTATAACACTGATACGGATTTCAGTGTATGTAGAGGTTTATATTTAAGAAAGTTGTATCTAAAATGGTGAGGGAAAGGGACATAAACTGTGGTATCTGCATTCTATTTCAAGTAGTAAGATGTTGATACTAGTAGATTATAATACATTATGCATATATGTTATAATCTCTAGAGCAATCATTAAAACTGTTACACAAAGCAATATAATAAAAATGCTATCAATAAACCAAAATGGAATACTAAAATGCTCAAATAACCTATACGAAATTAAGAAAGGGAAAACAGAGGAAGGTGAAAACAGAGGGAACAAAAAAATAAATACTAAAATGGTGGATTTAAATCCTAATATATGAATAATAAAAAGATGAAAATTGGCACAGTTGATAAAAAAGACTTAACTGTGTGCTGTAAGAAACTCCATATATAATGACATAGGAGGTGAAAAGTTAGAAAAATACATACCATTCAAACAATAAAAAAAAGCTTGAATGGCTACAGTAAAAAATATTATATTAATTATGAATTATTTCTTCCTTAAATATAAATAAAAATAAATAAAATGAATTATATTACTATTAATTAAAGTTGATATCAGAATAAAGAAAAGGGATATCACAGAGTGGTAAAAAGATCAATTTACCAAGAAGATGTAACAATCTTAAATATGCATGCACCAAAAAACAGCTGCAA